CATGCGTCGTGCGTCGTCGTCGTCGTTGCCATCGTCGTTGGCGTCGGATTCGCTGTCGTCGTCGTCGTCGGCGGCGGCGGCGGCGAAGGTGGCATCATCGTCCCCGTCGGCAGCCGCGGCGGCGTCGTCGTCGTCGTCGGCGTCGTCGTCATCGTCGTCGTCGGCCGTCGTCGTCGTCGTTGTCGACGTCGTCGTCTCCGTCGCCGTCGTCAGCGGGGGCGTCGGCATTGTCGGTCGTGCGTCGTGCGTCGTGCGTCGTGCGTCGTGCGTCGTGCGTCGTGCGTCGTCGTCGGCGTCGTCGGCGTCGTCGGCGTCGGCGTCGTTGTCGTCGTTGTCGCCGTCGGCGGCTGAAGCGGCGACATCGTCGTGATCGTCAGCGTCGTCGGTCGTCGCCGCCGCTGGCGTCGTCGTTCTCGGTCGTCGTCGTCGTCGTCGGCAAGGGTTGTCGTCGCTGTCGTCGTCGTCGTCGTTGTCGTCGCCGTCGCAGTCGCCGTCGGCGTCGGGGTCGGTGTCGGCATCGTCGCCTTCGTCGTCTTCGTCGTCTTCGTCACCGTCGTCAGTGTCGTCATCGCCGTCGCGGGCGTTACCATCGTCATTGCCGTCGCGGGTTGTATCGTCATCGTCGGCGTCGTCGTCGACGTCGTCGTCGGCGTCGTCGTCGTCGGAGTCGTCGTTGTCGACGTCGTTGCTCTCGCCGTCGTCGTTGGCGTTGTCGTCGTTGCCGTAGGCGTCGTCGTTGCCAGCGTCGTCGTCGTCGGACTCGGCGACGGCGTCGGCGTCGGCGCCGTCGGCGGCGTCGTCGGCGTCAGCGTGTGGCGTGCGTCGTGCGGCGTGCGGCGTGCGTCGTGCGTTGTACGTCGTGCGTCGTGCATCGTCGCCGTCAACGTGCGTCGAACGTCGTGCGTCGTGCGTCGTGCGTGGGTGCGTCGTCGTCGTCGGCATCAACGTCGTGGTCGATGTCGTCGGCGTCGGCGTCGTCGTCGCCGTCGTCGTCGGTTGTCGTCGTCGTTGTCGTCGTCGGCGGCGGCGGCGGTCGCGTCGTCGTAGGTCACGCGTCGTCGTCGTCGTGCGTCGTCGGTCGTCGTCGTCTTCGGCGTCGGCGTTAGCGTCGGAGTCGGCGGCGGCCTCTAAGGAGGCTGCTTACAAGCTCCTTAAAGCTTCTGAGAAGCTCTCTAAAAGCTTCCTCAGACGCTCCTTAGAGGCCCCATTAGTGGCTCCAAAGAGGCTCCTCAGAAGGTCCTTAGAGGCTCCTTAGAGGCTCCTCCAAAGCTCCTCAGAGACTCCTAAGAAGCTCCGTACAGGCTCCTTAGCAGCTCATTCGAAGCTCCTCAGTGGCTCCGTAGCAGCTCCGTAGAAGCTCCTTAGAGGCTCCTCAAAGGCCCCTCAGAAGCTCCTTGGAAGCTCCTTAGAGGCTCCTCAGAGGCTACTCAGAGGCTCCTTAGAGTCTCCACAGAGGAACTTCAAGCATTTCTGGAGGATTTCTGGCGGCTTGCTGATGGATGTCCGAAGGATTTCTAAGAGATTGCTGGTGGATGTCCAAAGGATGTCCGAGTGATTCTGAGAAAGCCTGGGAGCTCCTGGAGGAAGGGAGGAGGAGGAGAGAAGGGGCAGGAAAGAAGAAAGGAAGGAGCGGCCGAGGACCATCAGGATGACAGATTGGGCTTCCGATGTGTGTTTGTAAGGAGGTGCGTCGGCGTGCATTGTAAATGTATGCTGTTGTGTTGGGTATACGTTGTTGATTTGAGGTGATACGTGCTGTTGCGAATTGCTGTTGCAAAACAATGCACTCCCCAAATCCCGGAAGGTAAACTTGTACCAGTTCCAACTGGGGCAAGCATGTTGGCTCCCAAAATGACTGTATGACCTTAAACCGTTCGTTTGATGTCTGGATCGTCTTAAAATGTTGTACCCAAGGAATCCTACTGTAGGCCCAAGATGGCCAGTTGTAATTGGCACCAGTTGTTTTTCGGCCGGTTGAGAAGTGGCCAGGTCGGGTGTATTTGGCACCAGTCGGTGGGGATTGGTCCGACGTGGTCAGGACCCCCCCCAACGGTTTGAACCACCCCCTCGTGCAAGCAACGGCAGAAAGCGATTTTCCACATGTCCCAGGACGGCCTCAAGACGGCCTCAAGTGGCCACGGAGCCGTCCAAGAAGGCCCCCAAGAGGCCAAGATCCTGGCAGCGGCAAAAGATTATCAGCGTGCTTCGAGTTATCGCCCGGTCGCGTCCAGTGGGCTCCCGGGGCTTCAAGATGACTCCAAGATGGCCGAAGAGGGCCCCACGAGCGTACAAAGTGACTCCATGAAGCAATGTTGCTTGGTCGGGGAATCCGAAGGGGGAAGGTGTTATGGGATCCAACCTTCTTCGGTTAGATGTTCCGCAGGTTGTTCTCAACAGGGGCCCCCAAGGCTCCCAAGAGAGCCCCAAGAAGGCTCCGAGAGAGCACCCCAAGTTCCCAAAATTAATCCAAAAACGGTTCAAGGTCTGCAACAATAGCGCCCCAAGAAGGCTCCAATTGTTGCCCTTTCAAGACCATGAAGGCTAACGCTACTCCGCGCCGCCTCCTTGATTGAACGATGTCCTCCAAGGTGGCTCCAAAACCCAAAAAGGACCCAATACTAGAGAGCACATGGGAGACCACCCAGGAAACCGTAAGACCAGCAGGGAGACCATGCAAGAGGTCACAGAAGATATCATGCGGGGGCCGGACGGGAACCAGACGGGAGGCCATTGCGGAAGCCGTGCGGGGGACCACATAGGGGACAGCATAGGAGACCACACAAGGGGAACCAAACGTGAGACAGACCATACGGGATTCCAGACGGGAAACCATTGTGCGGAAACCATTGCGGAAACCATACGGGAGGCCATACGGAAGACCCCCCAGAAGACCACACGGGAGGCCACACGGCAGACCACGCGGGAGAGCATGCGGGCGAATGGTTTCGATACGCGCATGCAAAGGCGCGCGCGCGGCTCGCTTGGGACAGGAATGTCAGGAGACCTGCTGATGATTTGAAGCCGTGCGCGCGTGCGCAGGAAACCTGTCATGTCGTTGATAGCAAGCGTGCTTCACACGCTGTGAGAGCGCCGCTCGCTCTTGGAGAGCATGTCGCACCTCGCTGCGATACAGTGGAGGCCAGGCCACAAGAAACCTTCAACAAGAAACCCAACCCTGAGACCCCAGGACGTCCGTTGACTTCTGGTGGGGGAGTGTCACGCTTTCCAGAGCAAGACCATCGAAATCCGAGAGACCCAGGGCACCCTTGAGGCAAGCAGGGTGTTTCTTGGCATGGGCCTCCACTGTAACGTGCGTTCTGGGGGGGCAAGGGGGGGCCAAGGGGGGCGGGGGGGGGGAGTAACGTAACGCCCCCCCCCCACAGAACGCGCGCTTTGGCCCAGCGGGAAGGAAAAAAACACTATCCCGAAATGCCGAGAAAACCAGCAACTTCGAAAGGCGCGCTGGCGCGCTTGGACCGCATGGCACTGTTCCCCAAACAGCGCGCGTGATGGACTCTCGTGCCGAAACCAAAAAAGTGAAGGATCGCTCGATACCAGCCGACGCTGGGCCACCGGCGACAGTTAACCTTGAGCGACCGCGCTGGGGTCGCCGCAGCATCGACACGGGGTGCACCTGTCGTAAGCCACAGGAAGCTACAGGAAGCTACAGCTCCACAAAGCCTCACGATTGCCTCAAGATGCCCCTAGGACAGCACCAAAACCCACAAGACTGCCCCAGAGTTCCCCGAGATGGCGCCCGAAAGCCTGAAGCTGCCCCCACGATGGCAGATTAGGTAACCAAGACGGCCCCATGATAGCTGAGTCCCTATGGCCAGAGGCAGAGGTCGCAGCCCTGCAGAATTGGCTGCGAGCACCGCAGGGACAGTCATTGGCACTGTGCCTGTGTGCGCCCAATTGCATATCTGGGCACCAGAATCGCCACGACTCCTCTGAACCACTAAGGTCTGCGAGCATCACAAGGACTATGACCACCGCAGCGCCGATGATCACCCTGGTGCCCGTCAGCACAGCAGCGCATGTCAGCACTCAAGGGCCTGTAGGCACCAAACATTGCAAGAACAGCACCACGCCCATGAACACCAGCGCCAACGATCGACACCGAGCGGAAGAGAACCTCAGCACATATGCACACCACGATACCCAAAATCATCAAGATGCACATGAACACCACAGAGCGTGTCAGCACCTCAGGCCCTGAGGGCATCACAGTGCTTGCTAGCAACACCGCACCCGAGACAAACTTTCACGCAGAGACTGTGAGCACCTCAAGGCCCACATTTCGGGGCAACCCAAAAGGGGTCCAACTAAAAGATGGTAATGATGTGGAGTCTGGACCTGGGTCGGCACACTGACGCGTTCTCGAAATACGGTTGCCGAGCACGGTTCGCACCCGAGGCTGCTATCATCGGGGCCCTGATGCTTCGACCGAGTTCAAGGTGTCAAGGCCCAAAAAATGCGTGACTGTTTCGGCAGGCTCTGTTTTCGGCACCAGAAGAAGCTCTTGTGTACCCCACGTCTCTTGATCGCACACACGCTGGACGATCAGGTGGGATCTGGTCTGTCGCGCGGCAGTCGGTCACTACAGCGCTGCAATGCAACACGCCAGCAATAATACATTACAACGCACGTGAGTGATGCCGTAGACTTGGCGCGTGCAATACACTCTGGGGCGCGTGCAACACATGTGCCACAACACAACGCAGACTAAGCATCGGTCGCCAAACATTTGCAATACAATTGCCCGTGTGCGACAGATGAGCAACACGCAACACATTGTCCGCACGCAAAGCATCTGTAACGCGTTTGCAGCTCTGGGCAGAACACTCCATGCCACGGGTGCAAACTCTTAATACGGCACATGGAATTCGTCTGCCCGGCACGCTCGTCTGCCCGTTGTGTAATTTCCGTGCGTGTCTCGAGGCTACTTCCAGGCATGCGTTACAACGAACGACGGAATGATGCAATGAAATTCATGAACCCCATGCTGCGCGAGCTGGAATCGATTTTCCGCTAGCCAGAAAGTGTATGATCACCACAGTGCCTGTTAGCATCTGAGGGCTTGGGGGCACCACAAAGTTGTGTGCGCCGCATCGCACAGCACCACAATGCCTGCTAGCACCGCCTTGTACGCCCGTGCAGTCGCCAGGGGGGGCAAGCAGGCCGACGGAAAAGTCAGAGCGATACCGTGACAGGTGGCGAAAAGCCTCATGGAATCTGTCTGGTCTCCAGATAGACATACAAGCATTATTTAGCCTACAGCGTAGTGCCCGTTCCCATAGTACCCCCAAGAAGCCCCTGAAGCTCTCTGGTTCATCCCATCTTGGAAGCCATCTGTAGCATCAACGCAAGTTCCCATCACTGGACCAGCGCAAATCAGACCGTAGCCAGTTGACGTGACCAACAAACCCTGTACAAATTCACAACTTCTTTTCCATTCACTATCCCCCACTAGCCCATGTTAGCCTCCAGCCAGGTGTCGTAAAGAAAGAACATTCCGTGGCCCTCATACCCGCGCCCTCATCGCAGATGCGAGTCGGTGCCAAGCAGAATCCGTGAGGCCGTCGTGTAAAAAACATGCGTGTGCGCAGCCCCTCAGCGCAGCGGCGAGTCGGTGTAAAGCGCCCAGTCGCCCCACGCGGAGCCCGTCAGGCCGTCCTGGAAGAACATCCCGATGATGGCCATCATGGCAAGCCTGCCATTGGCCAGCTCAGCGTTCAACTTCATCTTCCTGTACTCGGGGTCCGTGAAGCCATTGCTAGTGAGGCCGATGCTCTTGCAGCCGAGGAACCCAGCGCCGTAATTGCCCGGCTCACCGTTCACCCTGTCCTTGTAGATCTGGACCTCGGTGACGCCAGCGAGGAGAATGATCTGCAGCCAGCCCAGGGCTGGCACCTTGGACAGAGCTCCCAGGCCGTTCGGAACCTCACTGAACTCGATGCCGTAGGATGGGGACAGGAATCCGGGAAGCTTGTAGTACTCGGGAACAATGTAGCCGATAGTGGCGAACATGGACACGCGCCCGTGCTTCAGCTCCACCTCCCGCCGGCGCGCGAAGTTGAAGGCACTGCCGTCGCTGGAGAGGCCGAGCGGGTCCCAAAAGCCCACGGGTGGCTGCACTCCCGTCTCGCTCTCGAAGGCGCGCAGCGGCGAGTCGGTGTAGAGCGCCCAGTCGCCCCAGGGAGACCCGGTGAGGCCGTCCTGGAAGAACATGCCGATGATCGCCATCATGGCCAGGCGCCCGTTCGCGATCTCCGCAGAGAGCTTCTTCTTCAGCGTCTCCGGGTCGGAGGACGTGAGCACCTTGAACCCGAAGTCACCCTCCCCAGGCTTGGTGCCCGGCTTCTGGTCCTGGGACACTTCGCAGAACGACATGTAGGCGATGATCTGGGCCCAGCCGAGCGCGGGCACCACGGAGATGGCCTTCAGGCCGTTGGGAATATCCGCAAACTTGAGCCCCATCGAGGGGGACAGGTAGCCCGAGAACTTGAACCCGAGCTCGGGCGTGATGTAGCCCATGGCGGCCAGCATCGAGATGCGCCCGTGCTTCAGCTCGGTCGCCCGGCGGCGCTTGAACGCGGCCTGGTCACCGTCGGCGGTGTAGCCGATGGGGTCCCAGAAGCCGAGGGGGGCCTGCACGCCCAGCTCGTTCTCGAAGGCGCGCAGCGGCGAGTCGGTGTAGAGCGCCCAGTCGCCCCAGGGAGACCCGGTGAGGCCGTCCTGGAAGAACATGCCGATGATCGCCATCATGGCCAGGCGCCCGTTCGCGATCTCCGCAGAGAGCTTCTTCTTCAGCGTCTCCGGGTCGGAGGACGTGAGCACCTTGAACCCGAAGTCACCCTCCCCAGGCTTGGTGCCCGGCTTCTGGTCCTGGGACACTTCGCAGAACGACATGTAGGCGATGATCTGGGCCCAGCCGAGCGCGGGCACCACGGAGATGGCCTTCAGGCCGTTGGAATATCCGCAAACTTGAGCCCCATCGAGGGGGACAGGTAGCCCGAGAACTTGAACCCGAGCTCGGGCGTGATGTAGCCCATGGCGGCCAGCATCGAGATGCGCCCGTGCTTCAGCTCGGTCGCCCGGCGGCGCTTGAACGCGGCCTGGTCACCGTCGGCGGTGTAGCCGATGGGGTCCCAGAAGCCGAGGGGGGCCTGCACGCCCAGCTCGTTCTCGAAGGCGCGCAGCGGCGAGTCGGTGTAGAGCGCCCAGTCGCCCCAGGGAGACCCGGTGAGGCCGTCCTGGAAGAACATGCCGATGATCGCCATCATGGCCAGGCGCCCGTTCGCGATCTCCGCAGAGAGCTTCTTCTTCAGCGTCTCCGGGTCGGAGGACGTGAGCACCTTGAACCCGAAGTCACCCTCCCCAGGCTTGGTGCCCGGCTTCTGGTCCTGGGACACTTCGCAGAACGACATGTAGGCGATGATCTGGGCCCAGCCGAGCGCGGGCACCACGGAGATGGCCTTCAGGCCGTTGGGAATATCCGCAAACTTGAGCCCCATCGAGGGGGACAGGTAGCCCGAGAACTTGAACCCGAGCTCGGGCGTGATGTAGCCCATGGCGGCCAGCATCGAGATGCGCCCGTGCTTCAGCTCGGTCGCCCGGCGGCGCTTGAACGCGGCCTGGTCACCGTCGGCGGTGTAGCCGATGGGATCCCAGAAGCCGAGGGGGGCCTGCACGCCCAGCTCGTTCTCGAAGGCGCGCAGCGGCGAGTCGGTGTAGAGCGCCCAGTCGCCCCAGGGAGACCCGGTGAGGCCGTCCTGGAAGAACATGCCGATGATCGCCATCATGGCCAGGCGCCCGTTCGCGATCTCCGCAGAGAGCTTCTTCTTCAGCGTCTCCGGGTCGGAGGACGTGAGCACCTTGAACCCGAAGTCACCCTCCCCAGGCTTGGTGCCCGGCTTCTGGTCCTGGGACACTTCGCAGAACGACATGTAGGCGATGATCTGGGCCCAGCCGAGCGCGGGCACCACGGAGATGGCCTTCAGGCCGTTGGGAATATCCGCAAACTTGAGCCCCATCGAGGGGGACAGGTAGCCCGAGAACTTGAACCCGAGCTCGGGCGTGATGTAGCCCATGGCCGCCAGCATCGAGATGCGCCCGTGCTTCAGCTCGGTCGCCCGGCGGCGCTTGAACGCGGCCTGGTCACCGTCGGCGGTGTAGCCGATGGGGTCCCAGAAGCCGAGGGGGGCCTGCACGCCCAGCTCGTTCTCGAAGGCGCGCAGCGGCGAGTCGGTGTAGAGCGCCCAGTCGCCCCAGGGAGACCCGGTGAGGCCGTCCTGGAAGAACATGCCGATGATCGCCATCATGGCCAGGCGCCCGTTCGCGATCTCCGCAGAGAGCTTCTTCTTCAGCGTCTCCGGGTCGGAGGACGTGAGCACCTTGAACCCGAAGTCACCCTCCCCAGGCTTGGTGCCCGGCTTCTGGTCCTGGGACACTTCGCAGAACGACATGTAGGCGATGATCTGGGCCCAGCCGAGCGCGGGCACCACGGAGATGGCCTTCAGGCCGTTCGGAATATCCGCAAACTTGAGCCCCATCGAGGGGGACAGGTAGCCCGAGAACTTGAACCCGAGCTCGGGCGTGATGTAGCCCATGGCCGCCAGCATCGAGATGCGCCCGTGCTTCAGCTCGGTCGCCCGGCGGCGCTTGAACGCGGCCTGGTCACCGTCGGCGGTGTAGCCGATGGGGTCCCAGAAGCCGAGGGGGGCCTGCACGCCCAGCTCATTCTCGAACGCGCGCAGCGGGGATCCGGTGTAGAGCGCCCAGTCGCCCCACGCGGAACCGGTGAGGCCGTCCTGGAAAAACATGCCGATGATCGCCATCATGGCCAGGCGCCCGTTCGCGATCTCCGCTGCCAGCTTCTTCTGCCTCTCCGCGGGGTCGGAGGACGTCAGCAGCTTGAAGCCAAACTCCCCACGAGAGGCGGGGGAGCCAGGGATCGTCTGGTCCTGAGAGATCTCCACATACGCGCAATACAGAAAGATCTGGCCCCAGCCCCCGAGCGGCACCTTGGACAGCGCGCCGAGGCCGTTCGGGACGTCCGCGAACTTGAGGCCCGCCTGCGGGGACAGGTAACCCGGGAAAGGCCCGATCAGCTGGGGGGTGATGTAGCCCATGGCGGCCAGCATGGAGATGCGGCCATGCTTTATCTCGGTGGCGCGCCTCCGAGCAAAATCCTCCGCATTGCCATCGGCTGTGAAACCAGCTGGGTCCCAAAATCCCGCCGGCGGCTGCACGCCAAGCTCGCTCTCGAACGCGCGCAGCGGGGATCCGGTGTAGAGCGCCCAATCGCCCCAAGCCGAGCCAGTCAAACCGTCCTGGAAGAACATTCCGATGATCGCCATCATGGCCAGACGACCGTTGGCGATCTCCGCCGCCAACTTCTTCTGCTTCTCCGCCGCGTCACTGGACGTCAACACCTTGAAGCCAAAGTCACCCGCGGCGGCAGCGGTGCCTGCGGACTGGTCCTGGGACAGCTCGCAGAACGCGCCGTACGCGACGATCTGTGCCCAGCCCGCCGCGGGAACCTTGGAGATCGCACCGAGCCCGTTCGGGATGTCCGCGAACTTCAGGCCAGCAGACGGCGACAGGTAGCCGGGCAGCTTGCCGGTGATTTCGGGCGTGATGTAGCCCATGGTCGCCAGCATGCTCACGCGGCCGTGCTTCAGCTCGGTCTGGCGCCTCCTGGCGAAATTCTCCGTGCTACCATCCGCCGTGAACCCAGCCGGGTCCCAGAAGCCCACCGGGTCCTGAACGCCAAGCTCGCTCTCGAACGCGCGCAGCGGGGATCCGGTGTAGAGCGCCCAATCGCCCCAAGCCGAGCCAGTCAAACCGTCCTGGAAGAACATTCCGATGATCGCCATCATGGCCAGACGACCGTTGGCGATCTCCGCCGCCAACTTCTTCTGCTTCTCCGCGGCGTCACTGGACGTCAACACCTTGAAGCCGAAGTCACCCGCGGCGGCAGCGGTGCCTGCGGACTGGTCCTGGGACAGCTCGCAGAACGCGCCGTACGCAACGATCTGCGCCCAGCCCGCCGCGGGAACCTTGGAGATCGCACCGAGCCCGTTCGGGATGTCCGCGAACTTCAGGCCAGCAGACGGCGACAGGTAGCCGGGCAGCTTGCCGGTGATTTCGGGCGTGATGTAGCCCATGGTCGCCAGCATGCTCACGCGGCCGTGCTTCAGCTCGGTCTGGCGCCTCCTGGCGAAGTTAAGCGTGCTACCATCCGCCGTGAACCCAGCCGGGTCCCAGAAGCCCACCGGGTCCTGAACGCCAAGCTCGCTCTCGAACGCGCGCAGCGGGGATCCGGTGTAGAGCGCCCAATCGCCCCAAGCCGAGCCAGTCAAACCGTCCTGGAAGAACATTCCGATGATCGCCATCATGGCCAGACGACCGTTGGCGATCTCCGCCGCCAACTTCTTCTGCTTCTCCGCGGCGTCACTGGACGTCAACACCTTGAAGCCGAAGTCACCCGCGGCGGCAGCGGTGCCTGCGGACTGGTCCTGGGACAGCTCGCAGAACGCGCCGTACGCGACGATCTGCGCCCAGCCCGCCGCGGGAACCTTGGAGATCGCACCGAGCCCGTTCGGGATGTCCGCGAACTTCAGGCCAGCAGACGGCGACAAGTAGCCGGGCAGCTTGCCGGTGATTTCGGGCGTGATGTAGCCCATGGTCGCCAGCATGCTCACGCGGCCGTGCTTCAGCTCGGTCTGGCGCCTCCTGGCGAAATTCTCCGTGCTACCATCCGCCGTGAACCCAGCCGGGTCCCAGAAGCCCACCGGGTCCTGAACGCCAAGCTCGCTCTCGAACGCGCGCAGCGGGGATCCGTGTAGAGCGCCCAATCGCCCCAAGCGGAGCCAGTCAAACCGTCCTGGAAGAACATTCCGATGATCGCCATCATGGCCAGACGACCGTTGGCGATCTCCGCCGCCAACTTCTTCTGCTTCTCCGCGGCGTCACTGGACGTCAGCACCTTGAAGCCGAAGTCACCCGCGGCGGCAGCGGTGCCAGCGGACTGGTCCTGGGACAGCTCGCAGAACGCGCCGTACGCCACGATCTGCGCCCAGCCCGCCGCGGGAACCTTGGAGATCGCTTCGGGAGTCCGCGAACTTCTCCCAATGCCGTTGCGAGCTCGAGAGCCGCTTTGGGAGTCCGGCCGGTGTCCTTTGAATCTTAACGGCCCAGCATCCTGGTCGCAGAACAGCGATCTGCTCGCTTCGGGATGTCCGCGAGGTTAACCCATGGTCGCCAGCATGCTCACGCGGCCGTGCTTCAGCTCGGTCTGGCGCCTCCTGGCGAAATTCTCCGTGCTACCATCCGCCGTGAACCCAGCCGGGTCCCAGAAGCCCACCGGGTCCTGAACGCCAAGCTCGCTCTCGAACGCGCGCAGCGGGGATCCGGTGTAGAGCGCCCAATCGCCCCAAGCCGAGCCAGTCAAACCGTCCTGGAAGAACATTCCGATGATCGCCATCATGGCCAGACGACCGTTGGCGATCTCCGCCGCCAACTTCTTCTGCTTCTCCGCGGCGTCACTGGACGTCAACACCTTGAAGCCGAAGTCACCCGCGGCGGCAGCGGTGCCTGCGGACTGGTCCTGGGACAGCTCGCAGAACGCGCCGTACGCGACGATCTGCGCCCAGCCCGCCGCGGGAACCTTGGAGATCGCACCGAGCCCGTTCGGGATGTCCGCGAACTTCAGGCCAGCAGACGGCGACAAGTAGCCGGGCAGCTTGCCGGTGATTTCGGGCGTGATGTAGCCCATGGTCGCCAGCATGCTCACGCGGCCGTGCTTCAGCTCGGTCTGGCGCCTCCTGGCGAAATTCTCCGTGCTACCATCCGCCGTGAACCCAGCCGGGTCCCAGAAGCCCACCGGGTCCTGAACGCCAAGCTCGCTCTCGAACGCAGCGACGGAGACCAATCGGTTCCGTGCGGGCACGGTCACAGCCTTGCGGGTAGCGGCGAGGGCCTGGCGGGACGCAAGCGCCAGCGCTGCGGAGACGCCAACCAGGGCAAGGCTGACGGCTGCTGGCGCCGAGGTCGCCGTGGGCGGGGTGGTCATCGTAGGAGGCTCCACACCGAATTGCGACTGGACGGGCGTCGGCAACTGCGACTGACTGCATGGCGCCACGAAAGACAGGCCCGCAAAGATGGCCGCCGCGGCGGTGGCTACGAGTGCGGCGGATGCTACGGTAGAAGACCTGGCCATTGCTGAGGCTTCAAGGTACGTGAAAAAATGAGAGTCTGGGATATAAGCCCACTATGAAAGTACTCTCTTGTTCAAAAAAACAGCGCTGGTCAGCGCAAAATCCAGCCAAAATGGCTTGCGGAACAATTGTGCCGGCAATACTGGCGATGATGACAGTCAGGACACCAACAACGTTGACAACACTTATCAGGGCGAAGGACCCAAACCATGTGCAAGTGTAAACCCGTCGTTGTGGGTATCGCCTTCAGAGGATCTCCTTATAGGGCCACGAACCGTGTGAGAGGTGCGCTCACATGGGCGTCGGGCGCATGCGGACCCTGCCACTGGGGCCTCCGGTGGAGCTCCCTGTAGGGCCACGAACCGTGTGAGGGGTGCGCCAAAATGAGCGTCGGGCGCATGCGGACCCTGCCCCTGGGGCCTCTGGTGGAGAGCTCCCTGTGGGGTCACCAACCGAGTGGGGGTCACCAACCGAGTGGAGCTGCCTACGGGGCCACCCACCGAGTGAGGGGTGCGCCAAAATGGGCGTCGGGCGCACGCGGAGCCTGCCCCTGGGGCCTTCGGTGGCGCTGCCTACGGGGCCACCCACCGAGTGAGGGGTGCGCCACAATGGGCGCTGGGCGAACGCGGAGCCTGCCCCTGGGGCCGTCGGTGGCGCTGCCCACGTGGCCACCAACCGAGTGAGGGGTGTGCCACATTGGGCGTCGGGCGCACGCGGAGCCTGCCCCTGGGGCCGTCGGTGGCGCTGCCTACGGGGCCACGAACCGTGTGAGGGGTGTGCCAAAGCGGGCGTCCCGTGTGAGGGGTGTGCTGCTAACGGTGATGGCGGCACGCGAAGAGCAGAAGCAGGATTGGGAGGGGGGGGGAGGGGGGGGGAGGCAGGCTAGGTGCGCTCGCGTCATATCTGGCGTCCTACCCCTCCCTCCCATCCCTTACAATGGCGCAGGTACCCTCTCTATTCGCACATTCGGATGTCGAGCAGGGCAATGACCGCGAGAGGGATCGCGATGCATCGTAGAAAACGGCATAGCAGGGCGTAGAAGAACACGGCAGAGCGTAGTATGTCATAGCATGGCGTGGCGCTGCGCAGTGAAGAATTGCAGCACAAAGCGTTGCAACGCAAAATACTTGCATCGCACAGCGGCACAGGCGTGACAGAAAAAGCGGCATCGCACAGCGGCACAGGCAAAAATGTTTGCAACAGAAAATGACATAGCACGGCGTTGAAAATCAAAGTGTAGCATGGCATAGCATGGCGTGGCACCGCGTAGTCAACCACTGGATGGCCTAGCATTGCAGCTGAAGGCATCATCGCACAGTAAAGCACCACATAACATTGCATTGCATGCCGTGGCATGGCACTGGAAATAATGAAGCCAACGCTGCAGCGGCAGCACGTTTCGGAACGAGCGGAAGCGCGGAAATGAGGCCAACGCTGCAGCGGGAGCACGTTTCGGAACGAGCGGAAGCGCGGAAATGAGGCCAACGCTGCAGCGGGAACACGATTCGGAACGAGCGGGAGCCCGAAACGGAGGCCAGCGCCTCAGCGGGGGCAACATTTCGAAACAAGAAACGAAAGCCCAATTCCCAGGAATCCAGTGAAAAAACAATACGCGGAGGAGGGCCGAACATCTTCTGGACGTCATCAGGAGAGAGAGAGGAGAGTCGTATTCATATTGTGTTTTTGTGAAGGAGGGGAGGGGAGAAGAGGACGCGGGGCCCTGTCTCTTCAAAACGAGGACCTAACACCACAGGACGGTTGGGAATAATCATACCAGGGGCAAATTGGATCAAGGCCAAGGGCACACGCTTAAATCCCGTACACGTTGGACTCGCACAATCGGCCAAGTGAGACACCTTTGCACCCATGGCCACGTTTCACGACCCACTAGCCCTGCACCCCTCGGTGGTTTTGCCTGTTCCATTCCTTTGCCCCTACTGGTGCTTGCGATCCCTCTGATTAGCCCCACTCGGCGTCCCTGGCACAAGTGTCGCAGACATTCTCAATCATCTTATATCGCGCTTCGCGCCGCGCGGAGCGAGAAACCTAATTGTATTCGCACCCTCGCGCCGCCGACGCACTGGTGAAGCGTAGCTGTCAACGCAAGGCCGCGAAGCGCGACAAGCGATTCCCTTCGCGCCCGAGCGCGACTTAGAATTTGAGGTTCTCGACGCTAACCCGAATGCCACAGCCCTCGTCGGCGCCAATTCCCCTGCCTTGCACTATTCGTACTCGACCCTGCCAATGCTCTGACTAACCTGGCTACCTTCTTTAGGCGCCACTGGCCGTTCCTGTCAGAAATACCTATATGGCTCTACTGACCCTCCTGTGTGGCACCAATGCCCGTCCCGTCACTAGCTCCTGCAGGCCATATATCTGGTTCCACGGGGCTTCTGTTGCACGAGTGGCAATTCCCGCCACTAGCCCCAACCAGCCACTGCAGGCCTTCTGACAAGCTCAACACCCCTTTTGGAGCTAGTGCTCGATCCCATCAATGGCCTCGACAATGCCTTGCTGACCCTGTGGCTAACCCCGCTGGCCCTCGTTGACGCCATCGCGCGTTCTCGTGAAAAGCCCCTACGAGTCCAAAACACATATACGATGATCACCAGCCGCCTCTTGTGCAATAATCCTTCGTTGGTCCTACAAGACCCTGCAAGCTCTCCGATTAGCCCCCCAAGCCCTCGTTGGCGTCAGTGTCAATTCCAAGCAATGGATCTAGCTAGAAGCTTATCTGTGCGATTCCTAAGGTAAGCGCCACACTCCTACGGGCACCACAGAGACGGTCCCCTGCGATGCTCAAGAACCGATGCTCAAGAACCGATGCTGTACTCTCTCTCTCTCTCTCTTTCTCTCCTGGTATGTCTTCTCTGGTTTCTATCTCTACATCAACGTCCCCTCTCTACTGTATACCCAGCGCCCACAGCGGACAACAAACAAAAAAACTGGCCCCTGGCCGCCCCACGCTGCCCCAGGATTCCCGCCAGACTGACATCAAGCGGCCAAGAGGACCCAAAAAGCCTACAAGAGGATGGCGAGAGAGACCCCGAGAGCCGAAGAGAGCAAGACCGCCAGGACGGCCCCAGGGTGTCCCTCTCAAAAGGCCTTGGAGCGCCCCAGGAGCCCGCCAACAGGGCCGCTATAAGGCCACGGCTCGTCACTGGGCTTTTTCGTGTCGTCTGGCCTGCTCCCTATAGATGCCCCACGATGGCTTCAGGAAGGCCCCAAGCTGCCGCCAATATTGCTGCCAGCACAAGGGGAGCCCGATCAGCCCCGAGATGCGGCCAAGATCCCCCTAATACAGCCTAGCGAAGCCCCAAGATGGCCTCAATATGCCCCTGGGGATCCCGAGGATAACCACCAGAGACACCAAGTTGTCCCTCGGCGGCGAGCGAGGGGGGGAAGTGAGAAGGAGAAGGCCTTCTCAGAAGGCTTCGAGGTCCCCCGGAGTTTTGAGAAGCTGTCCAAGCCTTCCCCGAAGGCACAGAGAGCTTCTCAGCTGGCGCGAGAGCTTCAGAGAAGGCCCGCCGCCTTCTGAGAAGGCCTTCTCCCTCGCACTTCCCCCCGGGCTCGCCGCCGAATCCCAGGTGGCCCAAACCCCGACCCCCGATGTCGTGATTTCTTCACAACGTCGATCCCAAAGGTCTGGACCCCTCCTCTGGGACCGGTTCTGCATCCTGAGCCGTTTTTTGACGGCCCCGAAGACCGGCAGGGGCCCCAGGAGGCCGAAAACGGCGAAGAACTACCATCGTGATTTTTTCACAACGCGAGGGGGTCTGTCGGATCGGGCGAAAGGGGGGGATAGCAAAGGGGGGGGGTGAAAATCAGCTCACGTAGCGATTTTCCCGGCGCCTCCCGGCGCCGGAGGCGGCTATGTATCGAGGAATGGGCCCCTCGGTGAGGCCGAAACCAGCTGCATGCAGCAAATTTCGTAACCCCCCCTTTCCCAATCCCCCCCTTTCGTCCGGCCCGAGTCTGGGAAATGCCACCCACCAGCTCCAAGACATCCATAGAATGGCCGGCCAGCCCAGGCCCAACAGTTCCCCAACATAGCCTGAACCACGGTGGCCGGAGGCGGGCGGCGCAGACTGAAGGGGCCCCAGGACCCACAAATGAATACACACAAATAAAAGTATTCCCCATATTTTCCCATATGTTCTGGGTTTCTGTCTTCCCCCCACTTCCCATATTTTCCCATATTTTCTGGGGGATCGACGATTAATTTATGTCTGTGTGTTTCTTTTCCTCCTGACAGACATGCGCGGACTGCGGTCACCTCAAGGCTCGAGATCACCAGCGCGCTTGTGAACACCACGATGCCTACGAGCGCAACGTTGGCCGCAGGCACCACAGGGGCAATCCCACCAGCCCTCTGGACATGAGTGGTTTACAGTCGGACTTAATTGGACAAGACACCCGGCAGGACACAAGACTCTTCCGACGACAATATGGCCCCAGAACACCCGAGGACGTGCGGGTTGCATTGTTCGGGGTAGGCAGGACACAAGGGTACCCGCGATTTGGCATGGTCGACCTCAGGGCCGACTGTATGAGCACAACGTTGGCCGCAAGCACCACAAGGACAATCCCACCAGCCCTCTGGAAGTGGGTGGTTTAGGGCGCTCGTTGCTCCAACCCCCTCCTCTTCCCTTTCGGGGAGGTGGTCACCCCTCCGCCTACCCCCTCACCTGGATCTGGAGCGGGGGACGGGTTTGAGTCGAGCTGCGTCTAGGATGGCTCCAAGAATGCCCCATGTTCCCCGCGATGGCCTCCAAGGTGGCGCAAGATGGTCAACGCTGAAATGCAAATGCACCAAATATGCCTCTGCGAAGCTGCCCAAGGATGCCCACAAGAAGCTTAAAGCCTTCAATCGCCGAAGGTGGTTCAATGAGTTGAAGCTTCTCTCGCGTTCCCGTATGGGCTTCTGAGGACAACGCATCCCACGACGCTGCGAAGCGTGCGCGGCACTCTGCGAAGCAAGTTTGCGAAGGCAAGACGACCCAAGATCGCCCAAGAGAACCCCAAGTGGGGCCCTGAGGGGCCATAAGTGGACCTCGTAGACCCCAAGGAGCGCGCCAAGGGCGTCCGTCCTAGGAAGGTCAGGACATGGCAACCAATGT